AAAACGGAAATTCGGAAGAGCCAATCCACCGATAGCCTTAGTTTTCTAAAGGTGAGTTTTACTAAGGTGGGGGCGTTGGCCCTGCCATATGTAGGATGAAATAACCGAATCAAGTTGATTGAAAAAGGACTGGGGAATAAAAATTGGTATTGCCCGAAAAAGAATTTAGGTAGGATAGTCATTTTAATTGAATTAACACGTCCCACAAGAGACATGGACAAAGGTGACCACTGTGTCAAAGTTTGTCTAACATGGTTTAACAGGACAGTAAAATTCTCCTTAAATAGATCTTTGTATTTACTTGTGATGGAAATACCCAAATAGGAAAATGTCACCACTCTAAAAGGGAAACTGGACAGATCTAAAGTTCAAGCAGCATTATTAATAGGAAAGAGCTCACTCTTATGAAGATTTAATTTATAACCTGAAAATTGACCAAACTTACTGAGCAATGACAAAACAGCGGGCAGTGAAATAAGGGGATGTGAGACAAAGAGCAACAAGTCATCAGCATACAGTGAGACTTTGTGCTCTGCGTTATTTCTCCAGACACCAGATACATCTTCACAGCTCCGAAGAGCTATAGCAAGCGGTTCAATTGCCAAATCAAACAGCATAGGACTCAGTGGGCATCCCTGACGAGTTCCATGGTATAAGTTGAAACTTTCTTAGACCTGAGAATTAGTGCGAATTGAAGCAGTGGGATGGGTGTATAGTAGCTTGATCCATGAAATGAAATTTGTACCAAAACCAAATTTGTCAAGAGCAGTGAATAAGTAGTTCCACTCAACACAGTCAAAAGCTTTTTCCGCATCGAGAGAAACCACACACTCAAGGACCGACTCAGAGGCTGTATAAAGAATATTGAATAGATGTCGTATATTAAAATGAGAGTGTCTATTCTTAATAAAGCCTGATTGGTCTTTTGATAAAATTACAGGGAGGATGTCCTCAAGCCTATGGGCCAGGACCTTGGCTAGAATTTTAGCATCTACATTTAGAAGAGAAATAGGTCTGTAAGAGGCACAGTCTGTTGGATCCGTTCCTTTTTTCACAATTAGGATGATACAAGCCTCAGTGAAAGAGCGGGGCAGGGAACTTTGTGTAAAGGATTCAGACAGCACAGAACAAAGCACTGGGGATAAAAGTGAAGAAAACTTCTTAAAGAATTCTACGGGAAAACCGTCAGGGCCTGGACACTTACCGGACTGCATTTTAGAAATGGCGAATGTCACCTCCTCCTGGGTGATGGGCTCCTCCAATTTCCTCGCTACGTCTGGTGAAATTTTAGGAATGTCAAGTCTACTAAAGAAGTCTATGATTGCATTGTGGTCAGTATGGGCCTCAGAAGCATAAAGCAAATAATAAAAGTCCCTAATTGTGCTATTAATTTGTGAGTGGTCCGAAGTTATTGCCCCATTCAATATTGCAATTTTAGGAATACTCTGGTTTGCTCTAGGGCCCTTTAGTAGATTAGCCAGCATTCTATCCGATTTGTCACCATGTATATAAAACATAGTTTTAGTTTTTAGAAGCAAGTACTTAGTCGAATGAGTGGTGAGCAGGTCATATTTAGTCTTAAGGTCCAATCGTTTATTGAAAAGGTCAGGAGTTGGAGTACGTGCATACAACTGATCGATTTCTGTAATCCGTTGAGATAATTCTGTACGCTCCCTATAAGATTTTCGTTTTAATTGTGCGGTGTACGATATAATCTGCCCACAAAGGTAGGCTTTAAGTGCATCCCATACCGTTAAAACAGACATGCCTGGAGACATATTTGTAGCGAAAAAAATGCTATTTCAGTCTCGATAAATTTCACAAAATTATCGTCTGACAGAAGAGTCGGATTAAAGCGCCACTGCCTGCTCTTACGCGGAAGATCAGGAAGGCCCAAAGACAAGGTAATTAGGGCATGATCCGAGATAACAATGCTGTGATAGTCACATGACTGAACCAGTGGAAGGAATCCATTTTCAATGAAAAAATAATCAATCCTCGAGTAAGTATGGTGGACATTCGAAAAAAAGGAGTAGTCTGTCATTCGGATGCAAACAACGCCACACGTCACAGATCCCATAGTCAGAGAGAAAAGCCTGAATGAAGGAAGCTGATTTGCTTATTGTGCTAATTTTAGTAGAGGATCGATCTAAAACCGGATCTAGACAGCAGTTAAAATCACCAATTATGTATAAGAACGTACTTGGTCAGATCTGGAAACAATGAAAAAAGGCATTCGAAAAAGCCCACATCGTCTATGTTTGGTGCGTACACATTGGCCAAAACTACCAATATATTATACAATCTACCCGTGACTATAACGTATCGACCAAATCTGTCTGTGAACACATCATGCGGTTCGAAAGAAATATCCTTATTGATAAAAATTGAGACCCCTCTAGCTTTGGCCTGAAAAGAATAGTGGAAGCTCTGCCCCACCCACTCTGACAGAAGGCATCTGTTGTCTTGACTACGTATGTGAGTCTCTTGAAAAAAGGCTATGTCCGTATTGAGTTGTTTAAGGTGAGAAAAAACTTTTTTCCTTTTAATCGGGTGGTTCAGACCTTTAACATTCCAACTGACCAATTTTAAAAATTGACCCATACAACTTAACCAAAAGAAGGCGGAAGTGTTGCAAAAACGCCTTTGAAACCAGAGAATACTAATCTAAAATGACTCTTGTAGTACAACAAACGTATGCAATTATATTGGCAGTGACCACCCCCCTCCCATCCCCACCCTCCCTAATCAGGTAAGCTGCTAGAAAAAAAAAGCAGCAAGCTCCACAAACCAAACATTAAACAAAAACGACTTCTCATGACTTACTACTAAATCAACTACAGCTCCGGTTTAATGTACAAAGATAATAAGCATCTCAATGAATAACAGTTAGCGCGGCCAAAACACAGAATTACCCTAGTGGGGAAAACCAGAAAAATCCACATACATGGCGCCAACCCAAGGTACAATTGCACAAAGAAAACCATACCATCGATGTGGCCTCACGACGTGCATCTAAATTTGTGACACCGTAAGAGGAATCCAGTACCAATTAGTCTGAAGAACACTATGGTCAAGTGAGTTAAATGCCTCAGAACTGACCGTTTATGAATCCTTTGGCAATTTGTCAAGGTACGAACGTGCCTCCTCAACAGAGTTGATTCGCTTCTTAACTCTGTCGGGTAGCGTGATACACAGACGTGCTGGGTATAGTAGTGCAGGCCGTAGCCCGCGCTGATAAAGTTCTGCCATAACCTGCTTGTATTCCGATCGCTGGCTGAGGACTTCAGGACAGTAGTCCTCCACAATCCTAATCGACTGGCCGCGAAAGTCCAGTTGTAAATGTAAGGTAATCCATGCAGGGAGCAGAAATATAAAGTATAGATATTTTATGGGTTCCACTGAAAGAAAGGTACCTGATTATGAGAAAGACCTCGTGCATATGTTGATGCTTCCATGTCCAACTCTTGCCAGTGTGGGGAAGCAATTAAAAAGGCCAATAGGATGTTGGGTTACATCTCTAGGTGTGTGGAGTTTAAGTCAAGGGAGGTGATGTTACATTTGTATAATTCCTTGGTAAGACCCCACCTAGAATATTGTGTGCAGGTTTGGTCACCATACCTTAAGAAGGACATTGTTGTCTTAGAAAAGGTGCAATGGAGGGCTACGAGAATGCTTCCTGGTCTTAGAGGAATGTCTTATGAGGAGAGGTTAGCTGAGCTGAATCTGTTTAGCCTTGAGCAAAGGAGACTAAGGGGGGACATGATCCAGGTCTATAAGATTCTAACAGCTCTGGATGCTGTTCAGCTAAATGGCTACTTCAATATTAGTTTAAATACTAGAACTCGTGGTCATAGATGGAAATTAGCAGGAGAACATTTTAAAATTAATTTGAGAAAGCACTTCTTTACACAACATGTAGTTAGAGTATGGAATAGTCTTCCTGTTAGTGTAGCGCAAGCTACCCAAATGAGCCTGATGGGCCGAATGGCCTCCTCTTGTTTGTAAATTTCTTATGTTCTTGTGTTCTTATGCTACCTGGCAGAATTTTCTGTGAGGGTGGTCCCCCTGTTTAGATTTTGTTGACAAGGAGGTGGTTGAGTTGGGGGATCAATCACACCATCCGGATTAAATTGTAACTTGTTCTAACCTGAAAGACTGTCATAGGAGGTTTATCACAAGTCTTTTTTTATTTAAGCTAGAATGTAGTTGTGGTGTGTTTATTATATAATATTTGCACTATTAGATGAAGGACATTAGCTTGTACAGTACATTTTTGGTCTTAGGATTCAGGAGAAAATGTGCACTGTGTGAATGTTGAGGGTGATGTCTATCTTATGCTGCTTGCAGTATACTCGAGATTCACTATGACCCTGTAGGTAATGAGTTATGGTAGATCAGTGCATGGATTAAACTCCATTCAATGCAAAATTAGCCAAATGCCTTATTACTGAATGCTGTACTTCAAGCTGTTCAATACCAGCATCTTAGCAGCCTGCAGCAATTGAAAAGACGTGAATGAAATAAGAGCGTGGAGTTATTTATTTTGTTGCCAAAGATGGCATAATATTCAGAGGTGGAAATTTTAGGGCCAGAAAGTACAAATCAAACCAAGATTTTGCCTGAAACAACCAGTTGAGTTCTTTGTGACTCTTTATACTCAACTGGTTGGTTGAAACAAAATCTTTTTACCTTTCTGGACCTGAAATATTCACCTCTGATAATATTCTTCATTGATATAGTGATGTGGCTTGTAACAGGCATTTTTTGCAGTTATGGTACCAGCTTTATTTTGGTAAGTTTCATGCGTTCTAGGCTAAGAACACTAGAATAAAGCTTAATGTGAGGACTGGAATGCAGATAGGTCCATTTTTTCTTGCGTAATCGATGTCAATGTGAATGTCCTGATAATAGAGAAGCGATATGCACCTAGGGTCAAGTAAGTTAACCTTGACTTAACATTAAGTACATATTGCATTTTATGTGCCCTGGGGTCTCAGGAAGGTGTCATCACAGAAGCTGAGATGCAATGTATTGTCCACTGTAAGAACCCCAAGATTCACCCCAAGAAATGCTGCCCATCTTGTCCTGGTAAGTTTGATTGTTGCTGAATGCCACCCCTTTTTAAAGCCACTTTTTTGTCCAGCATTCATGTAAATACTTTAGCTGCACTATATAATGTCATTTTTAATGCACTCATTCTTCATTTTGGTGGTACTTAAATGTGATTTCATATAATTTTATTATACACTTTCATAAAGCATGTTTTATGAATTAACTGCAGTGGGTAACGATGTTGCCTTGCATCAAGTTTGGGAGCTAAATTCCAGAATCTCCTTTATATGTGTGGAGATTGCATGTTTGGGCAGGACTCCAGTTTCCTCCTGCAGCCCAAAGATATATGCAGTTAGGTGAACTGGTGTCTCTAAATTGTTCGTAGCGTATGTGTGCCCTGAGATGCCCTGGCCTCCTATTTTGGATGCCTCCTGCTCGGTGCCCTGTGCTTCCTGCTCCAGGCTATCAGTGAACCTGTACTGAATAAACACTCTGAAGATGGGTGGACTTACATGATTTCCTCAGCAACTGGTTACATAACACATTATTTGGTTATGGACAAAAAGCAAGAATAAGACTGGCTGATATTTAGTACAGAGTGTGTCATTTACTTTTTACATTGCAAGACTGGCAATGGCTCTGCCTGTTCTTGTTTGGGTTAATGGAGGAAAAAGCTATTTCTTTGCTAAGTCGACCATAGGATAAGTCTGGTCCTGGAGTGTTTGGTGTGGGAACAGGTCAGTTGATCTGAGCAAGGAGAATGGTGGATCCTGCCGTAATTCCTCCATTACCTTTCCAGGCTGCATCTTTGAAGGCCATTTATATAAAGACCAGGAGGAATTCCACCCTGAAGGACAACCCTGTATCACCTGCTCCTGCACTGTGAGTCCTCTTTGCTTTACTCATAAACAGTTGCTCTTCTGGCCCATTGGTCTCTGTAGCTTTTTCTGATCTTGCCCTCAGTTAGCTTTTGCACCGCATTTCTGTCCTTCAACATGCTTTTTCATTCAAAAATATAAACATACTGAACAAACATAATCAGCAAACCTGCTATGAAAAAGAACACATTTTGAGATAACGGCAACCCAACACCTCTGCTTTAGGTGATATTTGCAGTGTTTTGAATAGAGGTGCATCAGTCTGGTCCGATACAGTGCTCATGTACTCGTACTCATTCTTGTGACAATGCACTGATCCCTATCACCGATAACATGTGATGACGTATCAGTGATATCTTTATTGAGCAAAATAAAGGGAACCACAAGTTGTGTGCAGTGTGGAAGCACTTCACAATGAACAACAAAATCCAAAGCATACTGTGCTCTGTTAACATATCAAGAAGAGATACGAAAACGAGTTCATATAACACAAGTATTCCAATAAAACATCTAAAAACTAAACATAAAGTATGACAAAATTGCCACCAGCAGCAACATTTTGCAATTTATACAATCTCTTCTATGGAAGTGTTCTTTGCATACAGTTTTTTGAAAGACTTTATTTGAAGTAATGAACCATGTAAGCAATTTGATAAAACCGATCTCAGGGAGGAGAGTATCATGCCGGTGGATCTGGCCAAATTTAAGAAGTTCATCTGTTCCCTGTTTTGCCGTGACTCTAGGCTGTAACCTAGGATAGCATGTGCCTTTTCTCCACCCCTGAGGTTAAGGTTAGCCTTCAATTTTTGGATACTTTAATTTAGTTCTATCCATGTTTACAATTTGTATACCACTCTAATGAAATGGTATAAAAGACACGGGAGCTGTAATGTTAGTCTTGTATCTTAGGACCGTTTTCTTCTAGGCTACTCTGTGCCTATTCATTTGGCAGTGAAACAACAGGTAACTTATCAGTAGATTCTTTTGTAGAATGAAAGCTAGGAGTGTTAAGTTAAGTTAGGAGTGTTGAAACTTCAGTCATAATGGTGTATGTAGTGTTAAAGTTAAATCACACCAGAAGATCCAGTCTCTAGAACCGTTTTAAATGGTACACAGCATTTTAAAAATTGTAATTAAATCCAGACTGCTGATTCATTGTTTTCCACACAGAGTAAATAATGATGGGTGTTTATCAATATGCAAACTTGACCATTCTTGTGCTCTCGTGTACCCGTTTGACGTCATCTTCCAATGTCGAAGTGTTGAAGTTCCTATACTCATGAACAGAAGCACAGAGGATGGTAAAAATCCCCAAATATGAAGGATACCATCACTACAGGATTTCAGTCAATGGTGGATGTGAGTTGTACAAGCGTTGAAAGGCTATAAAAGCAACCAAAAACTATCTAACTAAAACTAAAAACAAAATAATGAAAAGCCAAATACAAAAAATGTATGTGTTCAGTTCCTGTGTATATGCCAGTGAAAATACAGACAATTAAAGATAATCAGCCATTTTATGAAAATTTAAGCAAGGACATGAGATGAGATTGCATCCTCTCCGCGCAAAAAAGCGTCCTCCTCCATCGAATCAATGGATAAAAGC